TGGAAGGGGCGTTCAGAGTCCTGCTGGAAGCAATTTTAATGTGTCATCAAAGACTTTTTTGATTCCTGGGTGTAGTAAGCAAATGAAAAACAGTCACTGGTCTCCTAAGGGTGCTGAACGTCTTTTTTCCATAGTTATCCTTCAGACTCCCACAAACCAACTGTGTGGGGATTGTTTCTCCTGCTTCATTTTTTTTGTATTACGGTGGGATACACTCTGATTTCCATCTAAATTTTATCAACTTTTAAATGAAATAAAGGGATTATTTTACCTACATCTAGTCCTGCCCCTTAGGGTCATAAAGCAGAAATAATGGTGTATTTGCCTGTGTGTCTCACTGGTTAAGGACGTGTATGAGAAAACTGGCAGGAAGGCTGTGATGGTATGTCATGGTTTTATCCATCTTGTACTGACCCATAGAAGTTGATTTCTCACAAGTCAAACATTTATATGTGGCTTAGGCAGTAATAAAGCATTGCTGGTGTTTGGAGGTTGGGTTTGGTTTGGTTTCTGGTGGTTGGTGGGTTTTTTGTTGTTGTTTTCGTTTTGTTTTGGTGTTGGTTTTTTTTTTTTTTGGTCAGGTTGCCTGTTTAAGTCTTTCATCTAGGATTTCCCTCTTTCTCTTTGAAAAGTCACTGTAGGTTTGATATGCATGTTGTTGGTAGCAGTGCAGGCTTAAAGAGCTTTTACTTAGTTTGCTTATATTGCACTCATTCACTTGTGCTAATGCAGTTGTTGGGGGGTGGGGGGAGCTACACAGTGAACTTGGCTGGGAAACTGATCCAGTTAAAAATAATCCTTTTTTATCTGGATATTAATAACTCAGATCAGTTCTGGCATCTAGTTGGCTGTGGTACTCCACAAATGATTGTGTCAGCAAAAATGAGAGGCAGTGTAAGGGAATGTTTCTGACTCAGCAGTGCTGTGGAACTTTGGCAAAAACTCTTCCTTTTCATTTTGGAGTTGGAAGGTCTCATCCGGATGCTGCCCTGAGGCTGCTTTGGCTCTTCAGCATCTTTTTCTACTCTCTGATGTTCTAGAAGTGCCTGATGAACAGATTTTCATTTGCAAGCATAACTTCCTTGTATATGCTTATGTTTATAAAACACAGATTTGGAGTTGGTAACAGGATCTCAGCTGCTTGTGGCAGATAAGTGTGTTACTGGTGAAAAATATCTGGCCCCAGACGTGGTGGCTGTACATCTCTAGAGTCAGACTGAGGTGGCCATTTGTAAATCTGAATGTGAGCATAACCACTTTTCACACAGGACAGGTGAATTTTTCTGACCCCGTGTTTATAGCTGAAGTGTCTGGTCTGTCTGCTGGAGAAGCAGTGGCTGCATGCTTGGACACAGAGGAAAAGGCTTTGTGGTGAACTGAAACAGCTGGAGAACAGGGCACGTGAAATGCTGGGGATCTGTTTCCATCTGCTGCCTCAGAGACTCTAAGCCAGTTATTTGGGTTAATACAGAAGGTCTGTGAGATTGGTAGAGTTTTCGTCATTGGTTAATTACTGGTTTTTTCCTTGTTTGCTTAAAACAAGCAAGACCAAAAAGTCTTCAGCGTGCTTATGCATCTCAGTTACATAAAAAGGTACATACCGATATATTTTTCCGAGTTACCCATCAGTAAAATACTGTGGCTTACATATTTTATAGAATATAATCGAAACGTTGCTCAGCATTAAATAGTTCACCTAAGTAGAAAAATACACAAGGTACACTTGACGATCTCCCTGGACTGCACAGGCATGTGAAGTGGCGAGAGGTGTCTGAGCCATCTAGTGGTTATGAAACATTTTAACATTTTTTGATAGTTTGTAGAAAACGTAAATGACGTTGGCTTGGAAATAGCAGTTCTAATTTGTCTGCTTTTTGGCAGCATGGCTGCAGAATGAAAAACCCCAGACATTCAACTTAGATGCAGTCTGTTTTGGTTTGCAGCTGTTCTTCAATTTACTGTAGATTTTAGTGAAGAGAGAGGTCTGATAACATAGAAGTTATATTAGAAATCAGTAGCCAAAGAATGAGTTTTTGTTAGCAGGACATCTTCAGAAACTATGAGGGTTGTTAAGAAGTTCAGGGAAAGGATTGTAATAAGATAATTTTGTTTTCTACTTCTTAACTCAAAAATATTTGGAGGGAGAATAGGCGGCTTGTATTCTACCTCACCAGGTATTTATAGCAGGATTCTGAATAGCAGGGATTAAATCTCGAGTAATATTTACTGGAAAACATGGGATGGATAATTTTTGTAACGAACTTGTCCAAATAAAAGTAACAGACGACTGAAAACAGATTTCTTAAGATGGGGTGTGTTCCTGGTAAAGGAGTCACGGAATCTTACGATGTTAAGAAAAAGAAGATTTTGTAGATGGCAATTTCGTGTAATGATCCTGATTGGTCCTGATGTGCATGAAGCTGTTCTAGCCTTTTGTATTGGCTCTTGCCCGTAGGAGCTTGGCTGCACGTTGAACTTCATGGTTTTCTGCAGTACAGGCAGAAAAGTTGGTTGCTGAAGTCATGAAGTTTCTGGGCATCTACCCTTGAGTTATCTGTGCGAAAATACTGCGTATGTCGAAACACTGTAGTATCTTCCAGTCCTCGTGGAAGTCCCATCCAGGTTCAAATGCAGATGAAAAGATAATTGTAAATCTTCATTGAAACAAATCACTCAACAAGCAGTACTAACGGTGTTGCACATGGTTAGGCCTGTTGTATTTCAGAACAGGTAAAGGCAATCCGTACTGACATTGCAGGATTTACATTTTAGGTGAAGTATTACAGAGTGTTAAATCTTGCCCTGTTTTTTATTGAGAAGACAGTGGCAGCTGAACAGATTTTAAAGGTCAGTCTCAAATGCTTTGTAAAGCCAAATGAGAATGAGAGAAAAACGGGAAAACCAGTCACAGGACAAAGAACAGAGCAGTAATGGTTGAGTTGTGTTTTACTGGGGCAGGGACAACCTGAAAGCTTTATGTGAGCTTGATCTATTAATTACATTTGGACAGATCACTTGCATCTTGCTCCTGTTGAGCTTTCAAAAAGTTGATCATTAACTCTTAGGATACAAATTATCTGCTGGATTAATCTTCTGAATCTGTAACTCATTTGGACTGTGAATTTTACTAGGTTTCAGAAGAGGAAATTAAATTGAAAATTGAAGAGGTTTTAGTTGTCTGGTAAATTTCTGCTTTAGTTCTGCAGCGTGTTGGTGAAGGATTTTTGTTATTACTGCTATTCTCAGTCTTTACAATGGTCTGGTCTCGATTGCAGTTGGTGCATCTCTGAGGTAACACTGGACAGTTTTGTTAAGTTCTGTTTTACAAATGAGCCTGGCCTGAACATAATAAAGGTTACTCGTTGTGTGCTGTGTTCTGTAGGTTTCCATGTCGCACACGTGAAAATCTCTATCGTACTTCTTCATTTAAAGCGACTTTTAAGTCAAGGCATTATGCGTGCTCAGTTTGAGTTTGCCTTCTTTCCTAGCCTCTTGTTGCCAGAGCACACTTGGAAAGCAGGAAGTATGTGGGGTTCGGAATTAGAGATCTCTTATCTTTATGATGTCCATGTTGTGTTTTTGTTCAATTAAACAGGAATGCGGTTTTATGGTGGTATTAAAGTGTCATCTTTTATTGTTTATGTACTTCCCCCTCAACCCTCCCTGTTAACAACTTCCAGTGCTCTGATTGCCGTAGTATCTGGTCATACCACAGCATTTTCTTGGAAGCTGTCCATTGCTGAAGCTATGATCCAGCTGTATTCATGAAAGGATCTTTGGCATTTCCCCTGGTTTTAATTTGCATTTAGGAGATGCAAATGAGGTATAATGAAATGGTAATATTGGGTCCTGTTTCTGATGAAAGCTGCTCTTTGAATTGTGTTGTGGTTACCAGTTATTTACTGGGAGAAATTTGATTATACCTTTTGTGTTTGGATTGGGTTTAAGGCATAACTAGGGTTCCTTTTGTGGAATTCCATATAAATTTGACTTGTTGAAATAGTGTGTACAAGTGGAAGAGGGATTATCTTGAACTCTAGTCTTCAACAATGGAAATTCCATCTCTTGCCCATGTGTCGGAGCTTTGTGTTCTTTGGGATGTATTCCTGGTCTCTCAAAACCAGAATTATACATAAGAAAAACCTAAAAATAACACAGGCAGCATGTACATGTTGTCTCCTGTAAATAATGGAATAGCTCTGCTAAATATAAAGGAACTATGCTGTGGCATAACTCTTGAAGAGAAAGCAATATGTTTATTTTTTCTACTTTAGGAAATATGTAATAATTATTTGTAGAATTGGATAAACATTCATTAAACCCGCTTAGTAATGTCGCTTTAAAGGCAAATCATACTTTTCTGTGAAAAGAAATTGTGGGGGAAGGGTTTCCAAAAGGTGAATGGTTCTTCCCTCCACCCCCCAAAGTAGGGAAATAGAAATTTGATTAACAATGAAGGAGTATGTTTGTCGTAGGTTTGAAGCCAGTGGTCTGGGTTTTTGGTATTCAGGAAAGTGCAGTTTCCTTAAGCATACTTTCAGATTAATGTAATTCACATTCTGCTTTAGCCACTAAAATTAGAGTATGTGGCTTTGTTTACTTTTGTGTGAGTATAAATTATTATGACTATGAAATTGTTCGGTTCTAAACCAGGTTTTATTATATTAAATTGCCAAAGACCTCTACTCTGTCATTTCCTTCCCTGCTGTTGTACACGTAGAACAAAGCACATCAGTTTTTCTGATGTAAAAGTACTTGGATATTAGTTACTATTCTGCCAGAAATATTTTGAGGCGAACTGCCTTTTTTTTAATGTTCACTTACATTTTCATTACTTTTTTTGTTGTTTTGTTTTTGTTTTTCCCTGTTCAAAGTGAAATTTAAATATGCTTATCTTACAGTGGAAAGAGAATGTCAAAAGATGAATAAAATACTGGAAATTGAATCTTAGAACATATGGTTGTCTTACCTGGATTTTAAACATTGTTTCTTTCCTTTACAGAATGCTGCCTTTTTATATGGCCTTGGTTTGGTCTACTTCCATTACAATGCCTTTCAGTGGTAAGTTGGAGTAAACTAACAGTATCCGTGTTGTACGGTGTTTTATTGGTAGGTGGTTCCTCTTCAGTTCAGTGTGAGTGTAGGATGGTTAATTCTTTAAATTACTATTAACAGGTATGATGTTTGAAGACATACTGTCCTGGTCACATCTTTGTCTTACTGTAACGTCCCTGGGGCAACCACAGCAGCTGCTTGAGAAGGAAAGCACTTACAGAAGAACTTTAGCTCCCTGTGATGCGATTCAGTGGGGGGGTGGAGCAGTATGACTTGACAGGTTTTTGTGAACTGTCGTTACTGATAGTCTGTGGCCTGTGTTTGTTTGAAAGCCTATTTACAAAAAACTTCATTTTTCTCTTGGAAAAGAGGTGGCTAAATGGGATTGTTTTCAGTTAGCTTGGCATTCACCAATTTTCACATGGCTGTGTAATGCGGAAGTTTTGGACCTGAGAAGCAGTACACTCAGGCTTGAACCAGAACATTTAAAAGCGACGTAAAAATGTTTAAAAGTGGCATAAGAACTCAGAGTTAGAAGGAGTTGTAAATTCTGGCAGAGCTTTGGGTTCTCTGTGGTTGCTGTTGGATATGGGGAGAGGGAGGAACAGCTGGTTTCCAGGTGGGGTTTCGCTTTTGCTTTGTCGAAGATTGAATGGAATAGACTCAGTCCCTGAGGTTCTGTTGAAAGGTCTCAGGCTTTCATTGGGGGTTACTCTTGCAGGGTTGTAGTTGGTGTCATTGGGAAAACAGAAAGGCACAGTATTTAAGTCAGTGCTTTTTTACACTCAGTATGGAAACTTAAAGAGTGTGACTTTACTACTTGATTAACTTTATCATCTTACTGGACTAAGTGTGATTGCAGTCAAGTCAGGAGGCAGTAAGTGACTACTGGCTGGTGGTTTGGAAGAATGAAGTGGGATTTCTTTCCACCCCACCACCCCCCCCCGTAAATTGTTTCTATGTATCTGTAAGACAAAAGGATTTGTGCTTTCCTCAGGATAACATAAATAAGCTTTTGTTCTTCAAATTGATGAAAGTTGGTTAAATCATCAGCTCAGAATCTGCATCTTTCTCTTTTTTTTGGATCTTGCAACTTACTGCTTGCGTTATTGATAGTGGTGAAATAAATGCCATGTTTTGTATGTGGCAAGAGAAGAACGGGAGAGTCTTCAGAAAACCCAAGAATCCTCTATTTTAAGATTGTGATCAATCTTGGTTTAATTTTGTGAAGTTTCAGAATGTTCCTGTTCTTACGCAGGCTTGGCTTCACTGTGTAGCGTTCAGGAGTATTTTGTGCACCGGTTCTTCTTAGAAGGGGGATTTTGTTACAATTTGCAGTGTGAAAATGGTAGAAAACTGTAAGATAAAATTAAATAAGGCAAAGTAGTTAGATTTAGAGTAGCTGGGTTTTTTTGAAAGACTACCTGTTCAAGGAAGACTGTTAAGATCGGTGGATCGTGCTATCTAGCACATTCCAGTGGAAGGAGCTGCAAAGTCAGGTGATTGCGAGACCTAAGTATTAATAAATTAGAGCTTTGAATTAATTTAGATTTTTCTTCCTTGCTGTTAAGTAAGCTTGTTGATGCCACAGCCAAAGATGTCTTGACTGCACATAGAGCTTTATGTTAAGGTTATGTAGAATAATCGTATTTGCTGTTTCATTCATACAACAAAGGTATGTACGGTGTAATCTTGAGGAAGTTGTGTATCATTGGAGTGCTTTTAACGCACACCCCCACACCCCTTTTGCTATGCTTTCTTGGGGATGAGAGGAGTGGGATGTGTGGCTGTGGGTGTTTTTAGGTGTGACAAAATCATAATAAACTCAGAGGTGATAGCAAGTCATTTACAGCAGATATGTTCTTTGTAGATTTAATCCTCCAGAGGACTTGCGGATTGCAAGAATAATATTGCTTCTTTCAGAGTGAAACGCTAGTCAAACTGTCTTATTTCCTGCTGCAGCTATTCCATCTATTTACGTTCATAGAGTACACAAATCCATACATTACAGGCAGGTAGAGAAGACCTCTAGACCATGTAAGATGGTTTAAGCCATCGTCCTTCACCCATGAACTTTTTAATATTTAAATATTTTGTTTGTTTGTTTGTTTTAATTCACACCACTTTGGATATTCATAGATTTTTAATGAGAGGCATGTACGTAGCCCTCCTAAAAAGAAGGGGTGAGGAAATGCTTGAGGCTTTTTCATGTCTCATATAAACAAGCATAATAAAAAAGCAGGTGGGAATAAGGTCAGTTTTAGAATTTTTGTTCATATTTTTACATAACTTAAGTTTTCCAGCTTTTATAAAAAGAAGTGTTGGATTGGCTCCAAGACACATATACAATTCATTGTAATTCAATATTGTACACTTTTCTGTATACTGAAGCAGCATTACAGCATTATCTTAAGTACAAATCTTAGCTGACACATCATTTTACATTGATGATTTCATTTGACTATTCATGTGAGAACTGAAAAGTTTTGAGCGTGTACAAAATGTTACAATAGTGTGGTCAGACCGAAGCTATTTCATGCCATTGTTATAGGGAGATATGCCACAAGGGATTAGCTCCATAAATTGAATCAAGTATAGTAAAGTAGGTCTTACAGATCTTAGATTTTTATAATCTGTTCTTCTATACCATTTATCATCAGGCAATAAGTATAGTGGTTGACTGACTTGCCCCTGTTGTTTCCCTGTTTCTCAAGTTGGGGTAGAACACCAGTAGAATAGAGATAGCTGAGACACTCGTATAACTTGCATAATTTAGTATCTTCCTTAGTTGCCTTTTAGATACTTAAAGAAGTTCAGTAGTTTGTCCAAGGCCACCCTTAGTTTCTGTGCAATAGCTGCATCCAAGCGTAGTGGTTTGGATGCCAGGTTTTTTTTCTTTTATTTCAGTAAGCATTCTGGGCCTGACTGGTCTGTCATCTGCTGATAGACCCTGAGTCCCACCAAGATACGAAGATGGAGACCAAGCTCTGCAGTTGTGTCCTGAAACTGGCTCTGACACCCTCTTTGGATGCCAGTGTACCAACAGTGGTGCTCCAAGGCCAGCCTGCAGTGTTTTCAGTGACTGTTACCTTGCAAATTGATGGACAGTGTGAGAAAGACAAACTATTCCTCAGACACACCTTACAGGAGGCTGAGTCACCCTTATTGTACCATTTACATACCCTCAGGCTCCTCAATCCAAGGATTCCGTACCAGCTGTAGAAGTTAAGTGCTATGTAAAACTCAGTCCTTCAGCACTGGCACTTCTGCAGGACAGAGTCCTGAAAAAGCCAAATACTAATGCAAGAAATGATCCAGATCCTTTTCCTTACCGCCATCATGCCTTAAGATGCAGACTGCCTAAGTAAAATCTGTTATCACTGACTGGAACTTTTTGGCCCTTTTAACAGCTTCCCTTGTCAAAACAGAAGCACTGTTGTCATCTGTTCGATATCAAGCGATACCTAGAACTGCTGTCTCTGCTTCTGGCTCCTTTACCCTCACAGCCAGCCCAGTCCGTTGGCACTGCTGCATTCTGGCACTTCTGTAAGCCAGGGTGTTCTGTAGGCTGGAATTTCTTCTGTTAGCATAAGTCGGACTCCTTGGAACAGGGACATGGGAGTGCAGCACAAAAAGGTTTCTTTCCCCTCTTCAACTCTCATTCAAAATTAGATCTTGACATCAGGAAGGCAGCTCCAGTCTTTCATTACTCTTACCTAATTCAGGTAAAGACATTTAATGGGCAAGAGGGAGCAAGCATATACAACCCCCACTGGGAGAGTGCAGCACCTCCATCTCCAGCATGCAAGCACCAAGCAGGTTCTCTACATCCCATCTCTGCTGCCGCTGATTCCCCAACCCTCCAACAGCCAAGCAGGGGGCAGAAGGCAGCCCTCAGTTGTGTCCTGTGGTACTGCATCTCATCTCTTGGTCACTATGCAGGCCTCCAGACACTTGAGAGTCACTTTTCTCCCAGAAGTCCTCTGAAGTCTTCCATGGGGCAGGAACATTCTTTTCCACGTATCTACAGGAAATCACACAAAACTGACCATCACCTGTGAGATGACCTTGGCGCCAACCACATCAGACCATTTACTTGAGCTGAAAGTGTCGGGTCTCTCTCTGGCTCTCACTCATTTGTCTTTTTCCTGAAAATTGTAAAAACGGTTTGGGTTGGGAGGGACCTTAAAGCCTATCTAGTTCCAACCCCCCTGCCATGGGCAGGGACGCCTTCCACTAGACCAGGTTGCTCAAAGCCTCGTCCAGCCTGGCCTTGAACACTTCCAGGGATGGGGCATCCACAGCTTCTCTGGGCAACCTGTTCCAGTGCCTCACCACCCTCTCTGTGAACAACTTCTTCCTGATATCCAATCTAAACCTCCCCACTTTCAGTTTAAATGGAAGTTTTACTCTTCTCACAGTCATCCTGAAATAGTAAAGCAGTTTGTTTGAGCTGCTTTTGAAGTCTACAGTGGAATGTAAACTTGTTTTCAGTAGTCTCATGTGCCAACCCCCATTATTGCACGCCTTCCTCATCTTCACAAGAAATGGTTGTTTTATGTTGGTTGCTGTTTCCCTGTGAGAGTGGGAGAGTCCTGTGCTGTCATGGCCTGTTCTTTGCCCTTCTTGCTTCCTCTGTCAATACATATTTTTTTCAGAGGAAAGCTGTTAGTAACACAGTAGGATTTGTCTTTGAGGGGGTTATAATTATTTTTGTTTGTTTCCAGCAGGAACAGATCATTCAGAGGGTTCTCAAGCTGTTTGTGTGAGTCGTTGGCAGACCCGAGGAACTGGGCTCTTACAGACACGCACACAGAGTAGTCAAGTGGGTAGTGGGGTGTGGAGGAACGCAAACCGCCAAGTGAGGACCTCCTTCACTTGGCTGGGAACACCCCAGCCGACACGCAGATGGCAGCCACTGGACTGCCTCCTCACATGCCGTGTCTGCTCCGCACGCCTCCTGCAGCCTCTGCAGTTTGTGCCGGTGTGGAGGGCACACAGCATTT